CACACATACGATTTCTTTAGCAGCCCTGGTGCACAACGGCATTGTACAGAGCCCGCGCTGCGTGCACAGGCGCTGTGGGCTTGGGCGGCGACGACGACGACGACGACGACGACGACGTAGGCGGCGCGCCTCAGGGGGCGCGCGCCGCGGCCCCAGTTACCGTTACCCCCCACGCCCCCTCCTCAGTAACGTGCGTTATCCCCCATGAAAATAAAAAGGTCTCAACGTGTCTGCGACATGCACTTCTGTAGTTCTGATGCTGTTCGCCAGCCTTTTGGGCACTACAGAAATACTTGACGCTTCGGGCATCCTCACCAGACCATCCAGAAATGATGCCCATGAGAGTTGACGGGGGGAGAGAGGAAGAGACACGCATAGTCAAACAACGAGGGAGGCTTTGGATGCTCCGTGGCTATCTCGAGCCGTCTTGGAGCGGTCTTGGGGCCGCTTGGAGCATCTTAGGAGCCATCTTGAGCCAGCTTGAGCAGTCTGAGCCATCTTGGAAGCCATCTTGGGCTCTCTGAAGCCGCTCGGGGGCCTCTGGGGTGCCTCTCGGGTGCCTCGTGGAGCCTTCTTGGGGCCTCTTGGGGCGCTCGGGGCCCTCTTGGGGGCCTCCTGGGAGTCCTGGAGCGCCTTTTGGGATCATCTTGGAGACGGTCGGGCAAAAGAGGGGGGGTCCTCGATTCCCCTCCCCCCCTCGGAGGCCACGATCCTCGTGAGGGGTGTCAAAAATTGGCCCTCCCAGGGGCCGGAAAAGGAGCCTCCGACACCTCGCGACCCCTCCAAAATAACTTCAGGGAGGGGAGGTGGAGGGTTCCCCTCCCCGAAGGGAAGAGGGGTTGCGGAAGAGGAAAAAGACCCTCGTTAGACCACCTGTCGCCCAAAGGGCTGGTGGGATTTGAAGACAGAGTTCCCAGAGAGACTCGTCGCGAAGATGAACTTCCAGAGGTTCGCACTCCCCTGGCGGCGCCCGAGCGCCAGGGAGGCGTGTCCGGGGCCCGGCACCGGCCCAAAAGCTCCGCCTGGGCCTCCGAGCTTTCATCTTCATGTGATCGCGCGTTGTTCTACGCAGGAGGAGTTCAAGTCCGCATGGCCTGGCGTCGGCTCTCTGGCATGCGTGTCTGTTGAACACTCTGCCAGGCTGACAGTTGCTGGACACTCTCTCACGTTTGCCTGTGTCCGTACTGTACACGAGTGCAGCATGCGACCTGTACAATGCTGATCAGCGTATCATTAAAAGGCTTCCCTGCAAGGATCCCATAAATATATATATATATATATATATATATATATATAACGTATGTGTGTACGCATGTATGTGTGTAGCCACGTGGACCCCAAGCAGTGAGTTTTTTTCACTGTGGGGGTGGAAGCTATGCAGTGTATGCTATGCCGTGTGAGCTACGTGGTGAAAGCTGCGTTGCGTAAGTTCTGCGGCAACGAGGCGGTAACGGGCAGCAGCGTGACGAAGCCTCGCCTGACCCACCCAGCGCACGAGGCGGCAACGGGGCGGCAACGGGCGGCAACGTGGCGAACCCTCGCCGGACCCATCCAGTGCACGAGCAACGAGGCCGCAACGGGCGGCAACGAGGCGAAACCTCACACGACCCACCCAGCGCACGAGGCGGCAACGGGGCGGCAACGGGCGGCAAGGCGGCAACGAGGCGAAACCTCGCCAGACCCACCCAGCACTGGCCCTGCACACGCCCACCCAGCGCACGAGGCGGCAATTAGGCGGCAACGGCGCGCAAAGGAGGAAATCTTCACTGGGCCCAACCAATTCCTTAGGGAAGGGAGTAAGGACACACAGGTGCAAGCCCAGTTTGAATAATATCTAGGTATATACGTACATACATACATACATACATGCATGCATGCATGCATGCATGCATACATACATACATACATACATACATGGGTCTACTACGGCCAGGTGCGAGCTTCTCTGGATCCCGAATCGGTGGCCCGTGGTCTCCAGCATGGTCTCCCGCATGGTCCTCCGCAGGGTCTCCCGTATGGTTTTCTCGCACGGTTTCCCGCATGATCTCTTGAGTGGCCTGACCCGCGGTCTCCCCTGTCGCCTCTAAAAAATATCAATATGAAGGGGGTCGAACGGTCATTCACTGTCCCTGGGTGCGTGGCTGAAGTGGGATTCTGCGATGCGGATTCTTGTTGTTGTTTGTTGTTTGTTTGTTTCTTGTTGTTATGGTCGGTGTTGGTGGTGGTGTTGTTGGTGGTGTTGTTGATGTTGTTGCTGTTGGTGTCGTTTAGATTGCTGTTGTGGTTGATGCTGCTGTTGTTGCTGTTGTTGATGTTGATGCTGTTGCTGTTGGTGTTGTTGCTGTTGGTGGTGATGGTGGTGGTGGTGATGTTGCTGTTGCCGTTGTTGCTGTTGTTGCTGTTTGTGCTGTTGGTGTTGTTGGTGGTGGTGTTGGTGTTGCTGTTGGTGTTGCTGTTGTTGTTGCTGTGTTTGTTGGTGTTGGTGTCGTTATTGTTGGTG